TAAGCAGGTGTCTTCCTGGGAGACACACGACTCCTCAGATGGCCAACTTTGGCTCAAGAACTCCTCAGTTGCCATGCTGGACCTCCCCTAGGCTGCAGGGGCTCTTGAATGCTCTAGTCCATCCTTCCTCCCTCTCTCCTTTACTGGGGACCAGACTCACAGTGTGTCTGCTGGCTGCACTAGCCCCCAGAAGGACTCCCATTTTCTCTCACACATGCATTTCCCCTAATGAAATCCATGCACAAAATCCCGTCTTGGTGCCCGCTTCTGGGAGAAACTGGAATCACACAGGGCGATCATACCTCATGCTGAGGACCAAATGCAACAATGAAGCAGAGTTTATTAGAGTGACGGGCACAAAGGAAGTGCCCAATAAGTGGTAGGACATCCTGTTACCTTCACCACCACCTTGGTCATCACATGGCCATTTTGCTTCTTTGCTGGCTTCAGGCACAGCGAGCTCCAGCAGCATCCCAGGTCACACGGCAACTTTGTATTAGAGTGAGAGCCACTATGGCTCCGGAGGAGAAGGAATGGATTAATTAAAACACCCTTTAAAAACGTATCCAATTAAAGCAAAGGGCACAAACCAAGTCCTTTTTCAGCCAATGAAATGTGCAGCCAACTTTGCTAAGGCAACCAACTCCATTTTCAGTCCATTACACAAAAGATTTATAATATTCCAAGGTTCCTACCAGTGCCCCTGATGTCTATACATATACAGTCAAGCCTCGTTTCTCGAATGTCTCCCATCTCAAACAATTCGATTTTTGACCACGTTGTTCACAGACAAAAATGTCTTCCTTGTTGACCAAAACTTCAGTTTTCCACCTGACAGCCCTTTTAAGCTGATATCCAACATGACAAAAAGCTTCTATAATGCAACAAGCAAAGGGAGAGAATGTGTTTGTTGCTCATGAAATTGAGGATTAGCACAATTTTAAAGCAGAAAGAGGCCATCAAGAGTGCTAATGTTGCAAAGGGTGTGAAAGTGCTCACAAAACAGCAATCGCTGGCAATTGAATAAGTGGAAAAACTGTTGTTTGTATAAAGGAAAAGCAGTTAGCTGATGATAGCATTTTGTAGGCAGTGATATATGAAAAAATTCCTTTAAGGGTGATAGAGGGTAGTTCTATAAATTTAAGAAAAGAAATGTTTATTTATAAATTAATCAGTACATTAGACATGTGCTGTGACAGGGAATCATTTGGTGGTCTGGAACGGATTAATTCAATTTACATTATTTCTAATGGGAAAAAAATTATTTCGTTTTTGAACAAATCACTTCTAGATCAGCCTTCCAGAATGAATTAAGTTCGAGAAATGAAGTTCCACTGTACTCCAGTCATTAAACCAGGGCACCTCATTTGCTGTTCCTGAAAACCCTGTAGGGGTTAAAAAAGAATTGGCCATTATTATTCATATTTTGCAGATAAGAAAACAGAGAAACTAAAGGGTGGTTTCATGCTCACAGGTTTGGGACTGGAACTCTGGTTTTTGCTCCTGGTGCTTTGGAAACTCCGGGTTTGGTGGATTCTGTTCTAACTCTGTTCCCAGGGACAGTCTCTTAGCAAACTGGCACCATGAACTGGCCTGGAAAGACCTTTCTCAAGCCCACTTCTGCCCAGCTTTGGGGTCCTAGAAACCCTGGAACCATCCGTGATGCAGGAGTCAGTGAAGGGGACCCAGCAGCTGGCCTCCATGCTCAGGCCCATCATTTCTCATCCAGCGGGGCTCCATCCTGACAGTTGCTACCTGAGGCTGTGGACTGTTCCTTAAGGAGATTGTCACCCCCTCCACGCCCACGCTGGGAGGGACGGTGACTTAGTCCCACCACCATACAGCTCCCCATGCCCATTTAGTACTACATGAATGCTTGTTACAAAGGATGGTGGTGATTCTGATGGAGCTTTGTTTATAGTTTGAAGGAATTATCATCAATAACAACAACAGAAAAGATGTATTTGCTCTGTGCTAGGCATTGTGCCAAGATATGGAGTTCTAACAATTGAAAAACAAGCTTTCTGACTCCAAGGAGCCTACAGACTCTTGGAGGGGACAGACAGGTCACGTCTGCCTGGAGAGTGTAGGCCAACTTCACAGAGGAGGCAGCTCTGAGCTGAGACTGAGAAGGATGGGAGCTTCCCAGGCAGATGAGGGTAGAACGGGGCTATTGGCCTAGGGAATTCCAAGAAGGCGTGAACAGTGATCTGCTCTGTTGGAGAACCTTTTGTCCAGTCTTGTTGGAATGCCAACTTGTTTTCCACTCAACACCACTCATCCACATTGTATGTATAGTTTGGATACCAACATTTCTTCCTTCCCACCATTCTCCATTCATTTCATCAGCCATCACTGATTGGCCTCCCTTTGCCTGCCAGGCACTGTGCAGGACACTGGGGTGCAAAGGTGAGGGGGTAGACATGGTGCCTGCCTTCCTGGAGCTCTAAGTCGAATGACGGGTAGACAGGCTCTACCAACACCAGGAGGCAGTGGGTGTGGGCCAAGGGAGACCAAGGTAGTGGGGGTTATTAGTTCCTGTTGCTGCTGGAATGAATTGCTACAAATGTGGTGGCTGAAAACAACACAGATTTATCACTTTATGGTCTGGGAGGTTAGAAGTTCAAAAATCTGTCTCAGTGGGAGGACATTAAGGTGTAGGCAGGGCTGAATCCTTCCGGAGGCTCCAGGGCGAGAATCTGTTCTTGCCTTTTCCAGTGCCTGGAGGCTATCTGCATCCCTTGGCTCATGCCTACTCACTCTGACCTCTGTTTCTGTCCTAACATCTCATTTTTTCCCTGGCACTCCCGCGTCCCTCTTATAAGGACACTTAAACTGAGCTCACCCAGATAATCCAGGAAAACCACCCTATCTCTAGATCCTCAATGTAGTCACCTTTGCAGCATAGTACTCTTGTGCCACCTGAGGTAGTGTAGGCATAGGAACTAGGGTGAGGATGTGTGGACATCTTTGGGGGTCATTAGTCTGCAGACCACTGAGGGAACAGGGGAGAGATGCTTCCAGAAGTGGTATTTAACCCCAGATTTATGGGTGAACAGGTGGGTGAACGTGGAAGCAGGGCGGTCACCTAAGAGGCTACTGGACTGGTCCAAGCAAGACAGGATGGTGGCCTGGACAAGGCCAGTGGCCATGGGTATAGTGAGAGGTGCAAGGGATTGAAATGACAGCAAGGAGGTCAAATGGATGGGAAATGCAGGCAAGGTTGAAAGAAAGCTGCCCTAGACAAGGCTCACCCTCCCAGTGTCAAGGACAAGTGGAAACTTGAACATACTGTCTTCAGGGAATATAATACCCAGGGTGCAGATTCTAATTCTTGAATCTCTCAGATATTCTAGAGTTGTATGTTCATGTAACTTAGAAGTAAATGTAACATGTAATGACTGTATTTGTTCACATAATCTATATATATATAAAAGCCTAAGCTGGTAGCTATGACGTGCACTGACCACCAGGGGGGCAGACGTTCAATGCAGGAGTGGAAACCACAGGCATGGAAACATAGAACAGACTGATGAATCTCAGAGGTAAGCGAGGAGGGGGAAAGGCAGGAAGAGATTAATCAAAGATCTTATATGCATACTAGAGGCCTGGTGAATGGATCCGTGCACCGGTGGGGTCCTTCAGCCTGGCCTGCAGGGATTGGGCCAAAACCAGCTCTGCAATATCCCCCAAGGGGTCCCGGATTGCAAGAGAGGACAGGCCAGGCCAAGGGACCCCACCAGTACACAAATTTGTGCACCAGGCCTCTAGTATACAATAAAGACGGATGCTCAGGTTGGTTTCCAAAGAGAAGAGCAGATTTTGAGGCTCTGGGAGGAAAGGCTGATGTACGAACCTAAATTACCCAAGGAGCTGATCCCTCCGGCCAGGTGTTGTCAGGGTCACTGGTGTTTCCCAAGGCAGAAACTGAGCAGTTTAGCTCTCAGAAGTGAGGTCGTTTGCCGCACTTAGGTAATGAGGTTTTTCATCTCCTAATACCTTATTTACACAAAGGTCGGGCAGCACCATGACGGAGACCATAATAAGCATTAGTACAATAAAGGGAGAACAAACCCAAAGGGAAATGGATGTTTTCTGAAATAGCATTGCATGTGCAACACCACTCTCAACTTCCTGCCATTCCAGAAAAGACCCCAGCTTCGCACATTTATTTCCAAGGTAATGAAATTGCTCTCACAGAGATGAGGGACCTTTGAGAATTCCATGTGTTTAGAAAACGGGGAAATTTCCTTTTCAGTGGCTTCTTATTAGAGGAAAATAGAAGAAAACTTTTATTATTAATAGGTCAGGAGTTATTACATCTGAGTCATCACATTCTCTGTTGAGAGGTATGTTTAGGAGGCATTTTAGTATTCTTATATTTTTCAGGAAACCAAGTTAATTTGCATAAACATCACCCATTGCTTCCTTCTTTCTCTATGGCCACCTTTCTTTTTCTTCGCCTTGAGTAGTCAGAAACCAAACTTTCTTGACTGTGTCTCATTTTTGACTCATGACCATTGTAGACAGCTCACCCTTCTTTTCTTTGTTTTGTGACGTCAGCCCTGGATAACAGGGACTGTTAAACTTGCTGGTCGTTCACCTCCTCTCTGCTCTGCCCTCAGTACGTGGACAGAGTAGCTGGGTATCCATCTCTCATTTATTTCCCCTCCACGTGGAACAATGTCTGTTTTTCCAATATGATGATTTGATATGTATCTTACATATTGTTTGAACAAGGAGAGAGGAGATGAATAATAATGGGGACCAGGCTTCAAATTTGGACACTTGTAGAAAAATAGTAGCATTTCAAATTCAATTAATAACTTAAAAAAAAAAACTAGGACTGATCACATTCCCCAAATGCATCTTGGTGAACCATTTTACTCCTCACACTTGAAAGCTGGCCTGAGGAAGACATCTGTGCTTAATTTCTGAGCAGTTTTGTGTTCTGTGCTTATAAACAAACTCTCTTTCCCTCTCCTCTCCCTGTTTCCCAGTGGCCGTTCCCGCAGCAGCGCCCCCAGTGTGCCAGCCCAAGGGTGCCTCTAACGGGCACTACCCGGCCCCACGCCTGTCCATCTCCTCCCGAGCCACGGTGGTAGCCAGGATGGAAGGTGCCTCCCAGGGGGGCCTGCAGACCGTCATGAAGTGGAAAACCGTGGTTGCCATCTTCGTGGTGGTGGTGGTCTACCTTGTCACGGGTGGTCTCGTCTTCCGGGCTCTGGAGCAGCCCTTTGAGAGCAGCCAGAAGAATACCATCGCCTTGGAAAAGGCAGAATTCCTGCGGGACCACATCTGTGTGAGCCCACAGGAGCTGGAGACATTGATCCAGGTGAGCAGGGCGGGAGTCAACCACAGAGCCACCTGTGGGGACGGAAGACAGCACCAATTTTGTCTTTCTGGTTCTGGGATTACCTGCCTTTGGTTATGATGCTCCTAATGGTCGGAGAGGACCTCTCTGGGGAGGTGACATTTGAGCCGAGACCTCAAAGAAACCGGAGAATGAGACATGTGACAATGTGGGGGCAGAGGGGCCATAAACAATGGCCCGGATGTAGGAGCAGGCTGTGACCTGCATCACCTGCTTTTGGATGTGGTGACCAGAAGCAACAGCAGGCGAAAAGGCTCTGGGTTTCCAAATTCAAGTCCACCCATGTGCGCTGATTAACTTCCTGGTTCTGAAGTCCAAGTGAGACACTGGGGTAAGAGGGTGCCCTAGGAGCCAAAGAAAGAAGGCATTTTATTTTATTTTATTATTTTTTTAAATAAAAAAATTTTAATTGAATTTATTGGGGTGACATTAGTTAATAAAATTATATAGGTTTCAGGTATATAATTCTATAATAATTCATCTGTATATTATGTTGTTTATTCACCACTCCAAGTCAAGTCTCCTTCCATCACCATTTATTCCCCCTATACCCTCTTCTACCTCCCCTGCCCCTTTCCCTCTGGTAATCACCATGCTATTGTCTATGTCTATGAGTTTTTTGTTTGTTTGTTTGTTTGTTTGTTGGCTTAATCCCTTCACCTTTTTCACCCCACAATCCCCCTCCCCTCTGACAGCTGCCAGTCTGTTCTCTACCTATGAGTCTGTTTCTGTTTTGTTTATTAGTTTATTTTGTTCATTAAATCCCACATATGCCTGAAATCATGTGGTATTTGTCTTTCTCTGACCAGCTTATTACACTTAGCATAATACTCCCCTGGTCCCTCCATGCTGTCTCAAAGGGTAAGATTTTTTTTCCTTTTTTATGGCTGAGTAGTATTCTATTGTGTAAATATACCACAGGCTTTTATCCATTCATCTACTGATGGGCACTTGGGCTGCTTCCAGATATTGGCTATTGTAAATAACACTGCAATGAACATAAGGGTGCATATCCTATATAATAAAAGGGTAATATGCAAATTGACCCTAATGGCAGAACGGCCAGAACAACCACTGGACCAGTCACTATGAGGCATACTGACCATCTCTTGGTCCCTTTCCCCCAGCTGGCAGGCTCCGATCGCCAGATGGCAAATGGGGAGCCAGGGGTGAGTGGCGGGGGATGCGGGCAGTGCCTGGCCAAGGCGCCCTCCCCGCTGGTTGCCCCACACACAGAGGGCAACCTGCGGCAGGGGTGGGGCCGGCAAGTGGATGGGAACAGCCAACCTCTCAGTCCCTTCCCCTGGCCATCAGGCTCCTATCATCCGGTGGCAAATGAGAAACTGGGGGTGGGTGGTGGCAGAGGAGCGATGCCGGCTGTGGGCAGCCGGGGAAGATGGCCCTGATCGCAGGCCAGGCCTAGGGACCATACCTGTGCACGAATTTTGTGCACCAGGCCTCTGGTATTCTAATAAAGAAGGAGTTTTGAACAAGTTGGGATGCTTTAACCTGTCAAGATCGATGAGGCCACCAGATGTGGAGCAGCCATTTTGGTGGATTTATGGGAATGAAATAATAAGGATATCAGTAGTAATCAAGGTTGCTGTTTGTGAACACTTACTGTGTGCTAAGGCCCTTGCATACCCTGGATATTAAAAGATCCATTAAAAAATGGAGGCAGAGAACTTGGGCTACCACCTGGAGAAGCAAGGCAATGAGAGCAGAGGGTGGAGGTGACCTTGGCAGTGGTGAACTGGGCTGGGAAGGGCTGTGGGGGAGCAGAGCCATCTAAGGTGGTGTGATGGGAGGAAATGGAACAGGGGGCTGGAGAAATCGGCAAAGAGAGAACTGAGTCCCAGGAGGAGGAAAGGAAAATGGTTGGGAGCCCAGCTTGGAGGTGAGAGAGGATGGCTACCTCTGAGTCTGAAGGTTGATTTCCTCTCCTACGCACCCTCCTGAACCACGAGGAGTTGGTCATGGTGGAAGGTGGTGACATTTATGGAGGCCAAGCAGAGTCTCATCTTTCTGGAGGGTCTAAAGTTTGGAAGGCACAGGGACTTAAAGGACAGCTTCCATGATTCCTTCTGGCTCTGGGATTATCTGCGTTAAGTTCTAATGGCTACTACAATCCAAGATTCTGCAGGATTTGCATCTGGGCTGGCTTATTATTTATCCATTTCAAATTGCATTGATAGGAGGGGAATTCTAAGGTCACTATGACCTGACATCTTCATAGTAATGGTATTCTTTTAAATTAGTTTTGATAATCTGACCTGACTCTTAAATAAACAAAAATGCACATTTTCCACCTGGGAATAATATGATATTATACATATGCCCTACAATTTTTATGTAAAAAATAAAACTTTTAAATGCTAACATTCAGGGGCAATGTTTAGGGTCACTTTTTCTTGGATGGTCTTCTCTTTTTTTTTTCTTTCATGAGAAAATGCTACCAAATGTAGTGATGACACTATGTTCCAGATTTAAGGCCTGGGGTGCCATAGGAATGGAGGAAATAAACATGGAGTAGTTTCAACTAACAGTGCAATTCCATGTTGTTGTGATATGTGGTGAGATCATTTTTACTTAGTTGGTCTGAATTGAGTCTATATTCCTGCATGAATTTTTCATCCTTAATGAGATCTTGAGGAAAAGGATGATGTGTATCTTTGTATCCATGTATAGCCTATTCATTGCTTTGCATCTAGGTAGTACCCAATACAGAAATGCTTTTGGATTGAGATATCACACTAGATCTATAAACTGGTGATGCTATGAGATATCTGAGCTTATTCATGCACTTGTTTATTATTTCAGGATTAATTATTTGGTTCTATACTTTAAGAAAGTGTTCAGAGGCCAGAATGAAGGACAGGACAGAGGAGTGTAGAGGTTCTAATTCTGGTGCTGCCAATTAAGACTCATCCCAGGTTTTGAGTTGAGGGGTTTCTCTGTGAAATGAGGTGTGTGTGTGTGTGTGTGTCTTTAAGATCATTTTTATGACAATGGTAAAAGCTACCTTTTATTAGGTATCTGTTATGAGTTAGGCCCCTTATACCCATTATGTTATTTAATCTTTCCAACAACCCTCTAAGTTGGTATTACAATGCCCATTTTACAGATGAGGAAACTGGTGCTAAAAGAGATTGGATAACTTTTCATTGTCAATGGGGCAGAGCTGAGATTAAAGTGAGGTCTGTCTGATTCTACCTTGCCTCTCCTGGTGAGTCTACAAGCCCTTAAGTAGGTCTTGATTAATCATTAAGTTCCACTCTTTCTTAAACAATTGTTTTAGGTGAAATACTTTGTAGAATTTCAGCAGAGTCAAGAAACATTGGAGTTCCTTGCTCTACAACAGAAGCATTTCTCTGTTTCTTTCCTCTACAGCCTGTGAGTGTCAGTCCTGGATATGGGGAACTTTAGGATCTCCATTTGCTGTGACTGAAGGATTTATACTTGTGTTTCTCTCCAGTTTTTGTAGGCTAAGTAGGTTTAAATGCTGAACTTGTGTAAATCAAGAATCAAACATTATGGTTTGCCCTTCACTTCACTTCATTGGATGAAAATGTCCACACTTATAGACCAGACAGCATTCTCTCATGTTATTCCTCTGAGCAGCACTGCACATAGTGTTCATTAGAAAAATAGTATGTGGGAGGTTTTTCAGTGTGGTGTTTTCTCAGCTGGAAAATAGTATTATTGTATCTCTTAAAGTTCTGAAAGAAGTGACTGATAGGTCAAAAATTAGGTTGATGGTATTTATCTGATAATACCAGTATTCTTGTCTGGATTGATTGATCTCCTTATAAAGCTAAGCTGGAAGATGTTATTAAGGCTATTAGTACAAATACAGAGTATCCAGAATAGCATAAACCCAAGGAAATTTGCTAGGTAGCTTAGAAGAGTCATTGCTGGGGAGGAATTTTCCAATGAGTTGAACGACTTTATGGGGTACCATGGGACTCTGGAAGAGACTGACAGGTCATTGTTCTTGAAAGGTGAAGAAAGATGGATTGTTGTAGTGGAGGAGACCATCTCATTCGTTCATTCATTCATTCATTCATTTGTTCATTCGTTCTCTCGATCGTTCATTCATGTATTCCTTAAATTGCTATTGAGCTTGTATGGTATCAAGTGACATGCTAGGTATTGGAGATGGAAAAGATGAGAATAAGACACACCTTGAGGAAGTTACTTAACTCCCTGTGATCCAATTTATCAATAAAATGTGCCTAAAATCCTCTACCCTTTTGGTGTTGAGAGGATTAAATTCTATAATTCATGCAGAGAGCTTTGAACTGTGCTTGACATCTGGTGACTACTAAAAAACTGATAGCTATCGCTGCTGCTATTTGTATTATTATTCAAGTTGCTCAGAGTTTTAGGCAGTGGTTCTTAACGGGGCAGGGGTTGCCTCCAGGGGGCATCTGACAATTATGTCTGGAGATGTTTTTGGTTGTCCTAGCTGGGGAAGTACTATATCATCTAGTAGGCAGAGGCCAGTGATGCTGTCAAACACTCTACAATGCACAGCATAGTCCCTCCTCACCAAGAACTACCCAGACTAACATGTCAACAGGGTGAGAAATTCTGGAGGAAGAGTCATATAAACCAATCATTAGAATTAATTGGCTAGTTTTAGGCAGTGGTTCTTAATGGGGCAGGGGTTGCCTCCAGGGGGGCATCTGGCAATTATGTCTGGAGATGTTTTTGATTGTCCTAGCTGGGGAAGTACTATATCATCTAGCAGGCAGAGGCCAGTGATGCTGTCAAACACTCCACAATGCACAGCATAGTCCCTCCTCACCAAGAACCACCCAGACTAACATGTCAACAGGGTGAGAAATTCTGGGGGAAGAGTCATATAAACCAATCATTAGAATTAATTGGCGTGGAGCTTTTTGAAGTATGTGAAAAAATTGGAGTCCCAGTGAGGCACACAGGGAAGAGCCATGGTG